AGGTGCACTGCACGTCACAAATGTGGAGTTTGAGTTACACACAAATGTTTATAATTGAAACAATGCTTCTATTATCATGGTAATCAGCAAGTGCTTCACCATGGTAGAGCTATGAAAAGCCTTACATTATGGATCTATGATTTCTTATGGTGAAAAAAATGTTACGTTGTCACTAATTTATTGTAAACTCCCATGTAGAAATATCATAAAAAGAAGCCCACTGTATTTGTAAATATGTAAGACTGTAATATCCATCATCAGAAAGCTTACTTACACCGACAGATTTTGTATGCTTATGCCTGTCTATCTTTCACAACCTGGAATATGTAATTAAATTCTAAATATCATAAAGTCAACAAGAATTAAAGTGGAAGCTGTATAACTTCAAAGCTTCTTAGTCTTGTCAGCCTCCCTAAAATAAGTTCAGAGCACTAGATTAGAATGCTGCTGTTTCTGCCATTTCAGTGTGTTATGCCTGTTTTAGGAGTGTTTCCAAAATGAGAGCAAAACCATGATATTATCTGGTGGATGTCCTATTTGATCAAATTTAGACTGGCAAATATTTAAATGGAGTTTAGCATTTTAAAGGTTTTTTAACATTTAATGATTATTTAATGATAGAAAATAGTAAGATTTTAATTGGTATACTTTTAATTTTAAAGAAGCTGTTAGAGCAAAAGTGAAATTCAGAGGCGTTTATGTTCTGGGTGGTACTTTCTAAAGCAGAACTGATAATGGAGTAGTATCAACCCTGAAGTAAAGTTTAACAATAGTATTGAATACTGTGCTGCAAACGCCTGTATTAAAGTAGTGGGGCAGTTTTTTCTCTTGTAGCTCATTAGGCTGCTCTGTGGACTGAAAGCAGTTCCTTAGTCTGTACCTCTCCTTAGTGCAATTGTGAGATCAGGAAGCATAATGTAAAAGTTGTATTCTGTATGAACTCTTTCATACGATGCCAAAAATATACAATCTAGGAGTGGTGGCATTTTTCTTTAATATGCTTTGTCTTAAGACAAAGTTGTTGTTGTCCATTAAGTTGTTCATATTTTAGTACAACAGCATATTGTCAGTGGAAGTACACAATAGGTAAACATGTTGTTCAGAGGGAATACTAAAAGGTAAAAGCAGTGAGGTTCTGCATTGTATATTAAAGTTGTGATGCAATGTTAAAAAAAGACTACTGTACATGACATGGAATCACTTTGGCGCCAAATCACTTCAGAGAAAGTCAGTAAAAAAGGTGTTAGGGGATCTGCCACTCCTAGACAGAGGGCTGAATGTAGCTATAGACTTTTTAATGTTAATCCACAGGGAAGTACAAGTACGCATTGGGTGATACTTTTACATCCCAGACACACACTCTACTTACAGTAGTCAAAACCAGATATCCTTGGATGTGATAGCCCATTTATTTCTTCGCCAAATGATCACAAAACCAAGAAGAGATTGTGCTGGTTAGACTTGATAACTGGTGAAGACCAAGAAGGACAAGTGACAGGAACGTTATTGGATCATGTTTGTACAAGCTGATTCGGGATAAGCAAGGATAGGCCTGCAGTTTTGAAAAGATAAACTATGAGAAGTAAAAGGAACTGGTTAGTGACAGTGAAGAAATCAGGTACTCGCCTATGGGGGACATCTGAAATTTCTTTCACTTGAAAGCACCAAAACCAACCAACCAACAAAACCTTGAACTTTTCATTCTGCCTGGGAGGGAAATGTGAGACCCTCAGAAGCATCCCACGGGGTCCCACCAGTCACCCATCTCACCTGGTATTCTCCTCCCAACAGCAGCAGTAGAAGATGCTGTTTAGGAAGAGTGCACACGGGTGTAGCCACTCTCTGCAGCCCATCCCTCTCATACGGCCCAGTGCGTGCATTGCTGTATTAGGGATGTTAGAGAGGAGTACTTTCCTGCCTGGTCCTTTTAGCATCCTTTATAGACCTAAATTTGTTATCAGCATTTTGAAGCTGCTAATGCTCTCTACCTCCGCAACTCCCAGTAGCAACAAGTTCCAGAAGCTCACAACTTCCTGAAGAAACACACACTTTTCTTTTGTTTGTTTTAAACTGATCTCCCAGTCATTTCATTGAATGCTCCGCCATTCTTATGGAAAAAGAAAGCAGAGTTATTGGAAGAGTCCCCATTGCATTTTTAGCGGACAGTTGTGGCTTGGAGGTTGGAGGGTGTCAATTTCAAGTGAGCACTATCAAAAGTTCAGCTGAGTAAGAATATGTGAAGGAATTAAAAGCAAATGGTTAAATGTCCTTGGTCCTTTACAATTTTGAAACAAGAACATCGATTTTAAAGGGTCCAGTATCCAGTGAGGGAGGATGAGAGAGAGGGAGTAAGAATAAGACATGGCCACTAAGTAAGTAAATGCCTTGCCTTTATTTTCCATAAGGATGGGGCCTTGTAGAGGAGCAGAGGTAGGAGGAATAATACAAACAAAACAAAAAATCAATTATTAGGTGGAAAAAACCCTCAAAGATCTGCAAAAAAGAGGT